AGATAGGAAATGGAAGTAATCGATCCATCAGGTAGGTAGGGGTGTTGGGGTGGCGAGATGTTAGCTACCTCACGTGGTATACAGGAGTTTGTGGGTTTGAACCCAACCCTTGCTGCCTCTATATTTTGATTTTCCGTGTTCTGGATTAGAAGCCAGTGGCTTGGTCCTGCTCAATGTGAGGGGGGGGGGGGGGGGGCAAGGCTGCCCCGTGCATGGCCGTCTTGTGCATTGTGATAGGATTGGCACATGATTGCGATAAACACTCCCCCCCCCCCCCCCCCATGTTTTGTGGAAACGTGTCTTGTGTAATGCCTGTCACTTGATATCGAGTGTTCATTGAATTATTTTTCAGTGTTTTTAAAATGGGTTCTTCTGGGTAGCGGCATTCAGCGCGGGTACCAGTGCCGAGCTTGGGAGGAGTTGAATGCCAGAACGCGTCGTCACAGCAGCAATACCTCGCCACGAGGGAAGACACGTTGCGAAAAGACTCGAGAATGACTGCTGAATATCCTCTGTAGGTCTGCGCACCGTGTTTCATTGTGAAAACAATGAAGCATGGCATACTTTGTAACAGTGCACTTGTCGGATGGAAGTAAAACAACATTCCCCTTCCTGCCATAAACATTTAACGTGATGCCATAAACGTTTAATCTCTGGCCTGGTGAAAAATGCCTCCTAGCTGCTCAACCAATATCTCGTCATGCGAATGCTTAAAAATAAAATTACGGCCGTTGTAAAACCTTGCTCATGTCAAGACACGTGTCAACACTTCATCGTTTACAGCTTTGATGGTGCCGTTTGTTGCTGGCCGCTTGGTGCTTCGGGCCTTTGGTCAGCGGCCGCGTTTAATAAAAAAAAACAGTCTGCCATGCACATGCTCTGCATGCCATTCAGCATACGTAGCCAACCCCAGAAAGGTCACGGCTTTTCCCTCGCGATGCTTCCGCTGCCAGGGTCCGTTGCGACGGGGAGGGCCACGCACGTGCTTGGTGAAGTCGCGCTACTTTTGGGTGCCTGTGAGCAAACTTTATCTGGGCTCTTCCATTAAAAATCACAGTTGTACGCTGAGCTGTGAGTTTCGCGTGACAAATTCGCTTGCAAATTGCGTTTTGGCGCACAATCTAGGCCTGTTGACGCACTCGTGCAATGATCACCATAGCAACAGGTCTAGGTTTCACCCGGACATCCCAGAAAGTCAGCACCTGTGTTCAGGTGGCAGGAATTGAGTTTGCGCCGTGGTCTGGTACGCACTATTTTGTGGTTGGGCGTTATTGCGGAAGAGACGGGGGGGGGGGGGGCACCGTTGCGATCGACCCCCGGCCTGACCGAGAGACGTGTCTGGGTTTGCTTTGTGGAGGGGGAAGGTGGCGACCCTCGGGGGGAGGGGGGGGGGTGAATCTCTGCACTCCGGGCAGCGAAGGCTGATGGATAATTTGTGCTGCTGCTAATCAGCTGCATATTGATTTTTTGCGCTGTGACGCGTCTATTATCTAAATCTGTGGTACAGACGTCATACTGTGACTTTGTAGTTGCTTTAGAATTCTTGGTTCGTTGTGAGACATTGAAAATGCACTTACTGAAAATGAATTTGTAGGCAAACCACTTATCGTCATCTGATGACAGACAATACTACCTTTCTTCTCCAGAGTAACGTGTTACCTGATCATTATCATCTAGTCTTGTGATTCCCTCAGTTATTTAAACTCATTCCATCTTTTGGAAATTGTAATATTCTGACTAAATCATATTTCATGGCTATAATTCGTAAAAATATTCACAAATCTGGGACATTATGATTTCTAATCACATTATCAGCTACATTTTTCAAACGTGGCTTTTAAATTGCTTTTTGTGAGTGTTTTTTCAACACTCCCATATCAGATTCATAAAACTACAATCTAGAGGTGGCCGGGCAGCCCAGAGATCCGGAGCACCGAGCTGGCACTGCCGAGTCACCACCTGGGTTCGACTCCAGGTAGCCGGGCTCCCAAGCGGAGCGAGTCCGTTGGTCTCGACCGCAGCCTCCGATGACTTTACGCTCAAAACGTTGCACGACCAATTTGAGGTTTTTCATTTACCTTCGCATAAATTCCAGCTCGGGGAAATTAACAGTTGTCAGCTTTACGGGCATGTTTTTTTTTACGGACGTGTAGGTTGGCGGCGGCGGTGTTCAGGAAGAGGTCGATGGAATCGACTTGGGAAGTAGTTCTCTGATGCCACCTGCTTGTGGCTGATGCATTGCCAGCTGTAAGAGAGATCTTAACTACCTCGCCCAGTAAGCAGGAGGTCGCGTGAGTTCGATCCCGACCCTGACGCCTGCTTTATATTTGGAGTCTGCGTGTTCTCTCTCCCCGTGGTTGTGTGGATTTTTCTCCGGGTCCTCCGGTTTTTCCCTTCCACATTTATTATCAACACGCATCTAGAGAATTTGTCTGCTATACATTTCCACATGATGATAAGCCACTTCGTTGAGCTATCATTTATGGCCAGGACGCTTCTGACAAAGAGCTACGCAGCTCAATGGGTCTTCCCTGATACAATAAAAAATAGTTTTAAGTCGTTTTAACAGAGATTTCTTCGTCTCTGGAAATAAATTAATCAAAAAGTGATTGTCTAAACATATTAACCAACTCTGATCTCTTGGTGTTCCATGTCATGACGTTGCTGCTGGGTGCTTCGAGGATGGGACGTCTCCATCGCTCTCGCTTCAGCTTCCTTATCTTGAGAAACATCTTTGAATATTAATGTTTTTATCATTGTAATCACCAAGCGTAGTTCGGTTTTCTAGAATGCTTTAATGTCTGAATCACAAGGACGCATCCCCTGGGCTTACAAAAATTAGTTTTTGCTACAAATTTTTTACCATTTGCGTGTGTCCCTAATCTGATTGCAATAAAATTAAGTACAAATTTCTTTTTTACATTTTCACGGTCAGTTATCGGAATAAATCCACCAAACTGGCAGAGAAATGAAACGTATTTATGGAGGAAATCCCATACGCTGTGTCCTCCGCGCAGAGGGGGGCGCGGGCCTTTAGCCGTTGGCGCGCTGTGCACGCTAACAGCTCGCAGGACCCCAGCCCAAGGTGACATTCGGCATCGGACCCTTGAAATGAAGTTCATACGATGAATACGCCTGCGGGAATTAAATATAGGTTTATGCGCACCACTAACTGCTTGGCCCTGCCTCTTAATCACGCCCGCATGCTTGGGGGTGGGAGCGCACGAGCCGACGCGCGGCTTTTAAATGGCACGACGGTGGTGCGACCCTCGCCGCGTGTGGGATCAGACTGCCTGAGCAGCAGTAGCGGTGCAAAGCAGCGCTCGGCTTGTCCACCATGTGACCGTTTGTGCATCCTACTGCTGCGGAAGTTTATCCCTCCGGCCGAGATAAAATGAGTACAGCAGTTCCCTCGGTTTACAATGTCATCGATTAACGATATTTCGATTAACGATCAGCCCTCCCACAGGGGTCCCATTGTCTCTATTAACTAAACGTTTTACGATATCACGCGGCCACCAATTTCGGCCAATCGGAGCGCTCCTTTTATGAGCGTTTTGAGCGCAACTGGCTGCGAGATTTTCAATGTCCATCTTCTTAGCCTCAGGCAAGAGTTATTATTTTATGCTCTGTGCGCCTTTTTATTCTCTATTCATTATTTTTCCATGTTTATGTTAATGCTTTCATATGTTCTTAGAACATATATTTATACAAGTTGCGTGTTTAAATATTATAAACTTTGCTTTTAGGGTGAAAAAGGCCAACTTCTCATCGTCTGGGAACAATTTGAGTCTTTAACATGTGATTAACGATCAATTCAATTAACGATGGCTTTCGTGTAACCAATCTATATCGTTAACCGAGGGACCACTGTACCAGTTTTCGGGGAAGCCAACAGTGGGTGTGCTTTTGGTGGGTTTGCCCCCATCATAGGAATGTGGAATTTCCACCATAAAATAGGGGATGAGCACCGCCTTCCATGCTCACTTGAGCAGCAGGAATCACTTCGTTTTATTGTCAAGAGAGACCAGAAATAACATTTAATAGTGTGACACCGCGATACTAATTAACGTTTGAAATTGTTTCTAATAAAAAAAGGCCTTTTCCTCTTAAATATTAACTGCCCGTTCCCATTTGCCTTTCCGATTGTGCGATCGGCAGAGGTGGGACAAAGTCATTGTTATGCAAGTCCAAGTCGAGTCTGAAGTCATCAAATTCATGACTCGAGTCTGACTCGAGTCCAAGTCACATGACTCGAGTCCACACCTCAGAGGTGGGACAAAGTCATTGTTATGCAAGTCCAAGTCGAGTCTGAAGTCATCAAATTCATGACTCGAGTCTGACTCGAGTCCAAGTCACATGACTCGAGTCCACACCTCAGAGGTGGGACAAAGTCATTGTTATGCAAGTCCAAGTCGAGTCTGAAGTCATCAAATTCATGACTCGAGTCTGACTCGAGTCCAAGTCACATGACTCGAGTCCACACCTCTGGCGATCGGTATCATGTCGTGTGTCGCGGTGTGTTAGAGAGCGGCCTACAGAAGCAGATGTCACAGAACTGCTGCAAGTGACCTCTGTTCTGTGTCCACAATGGACTGCTGCGCTTTCCCTCACGCTCCGTTGCCGAATATTTTCGTTTGGACGGCTGTCAAACTCAGTCTTAATTCTCAAACATTGGAACTATTGCACATTTAATTGAGAAAAACTCCCTCGTCGTGATGTTTTTCGTGGAGTCGTTAGCGGCCGGGCCGACACCCTTGACACTTTTCATCTGAGGGAAAAAAAAATCGTATTTATTTTATTAGAAGATTAAGTTTTACCCTTTCTGGAAATCAAACAGGTGTTATGATGTTAAAACACCAAATTCAGACAAGGAATCGTGTCTGCATTAACCACGTATACTTGTGGCGAACATGCAAACTAAAAAAACACGCTCTGGTAGTCTCCCAAAGTGCGTCGCTGACATTTCTCACTTTTCGTCGCCGCCGTTCCCTATGCAGAACCCGAAAGACTGCCGCACGGCGCGCAAGCTGGTGTGCAATATCAACAAGGGCTGCGGCTACGGCTGCCAGCTACACCACGTCGTCTACTGCTTCATGATCGCCTACGGCACGCAGCGCACCATGATCCTCGAGTCCAGGGGCTGGCGCTACAGCCCCAAGGGCTTCGAGAAGTTCTTCCAGCCCGTCAGCGAGACGTGCAGGGACCGCTCTGGGAAGAGCACGGGCCACTGGTCCGGTAAGCGGCGGCGTCTCTTGCCGTGTTTCGCTACCCATCGCCACCGCTCGTGAATCGCTGCACTCGCCGCTGCTGCCACCGCTGTAACAGCGCCGCGCGTGGGTTTCCCGTGAATGGGTTTGACACGGGACGAGTGAGAGATGATTGTGTGGATCGCTGTACAGGTGAGTCAGTGGAGTGAGTGGTAATCGTGTGGATCGCTGTGCAGGTGAGTCAGTGGACTGAGTGGTAATCTGTGGATCGCTGTGCAGGTGAGGAAGTGGAGTGAGTGGTAATCGTGTGGATGGCTGTGCAGGTGAGTCAGTGGACTGAGTGGTAATCTGTGGATCGCTGTGCAGGTGAGGAAGTGGAGTGAGTGGTAATCGTGTGGATGGCTGTACAGGTGAGTCAGTGGAGTGAGTGGTAATCGTGTGGATCGCTGAGCGTCCTGTGTTGTCGCTGCGCTTGCAGGGGAGGCGAATGACCGTGACGTGCAGGTCGTGGAGCTGCCGATCGTGGACAGCCTCCACCCCCGGCCCCCGTACCTGCCTCTGGCCGTGCCGGAGGACCTGTGGGAGCGTGTCTCACGCCTGCATGGCGACCCGTCCGTGTGGTGGGTTTCCCAGTTCATCAAGTTCTTGGTGCGACCGCAGCCTCAGCTGGAGCAAGAGATTCAACAAAACGCGGAGAAGATGGGCTTTGAGCATCCCATTGTCGGGTGCGTAAAGCACCGCACCGCACGCAGACAACACGACTCGATGTTTGAACGCGCACACAAGGCGCACATTCCCTCGCGTATTTGTATTCTTGAAATGTATTCGTTTGGTCAAAATATACCAACTAGTTTTTTTAAATGTAGCCCGTAGCCGATAAAATAATAAAACCTCAACCATGCATACGCACAGTTAATGCCGTCTCATTAGAGAATAATAACCGTAGGCTGACATGTCAAGAAATGTTCCTTCAGAGCACAAACTGAGAGCGGAGAGAATGTTTAAATGCGCCTGGTGGCGCTTTAGTACAGTGCGTTTGGGAGATGTTCCGTGCCGATGTCGCTACGGCGGGCGTAGCACAGCGTGCGTGGCCAACGACGACGACGCGACGGGTTGGCACCGCTCACGTCCCCCACGCTTGGTGAGACAAGACAGCAGTTTGTGAACGGCATCGATGTCATCAATAGAGCGTGGATTAAGAGTTACGATCCAGATTTAAAACTGAAATCCAATAGAGGGCGTCAGACTTTGTTAAAGGAAATCAAAACAAAGATTGTTTACGAAAATGTTTGTTCCCATAGGTGAAGTGAATTAAGCTCCGTCTGATCCAGCTGCCTGAAACAAACGCGCGTTCACCCCCGTCTCACTTGTCAATCACTGCATGACGAGAGGAACCGATTCCACACCACCACGGCCTACAGTCTGCCTCGTTTTTGCTCCGGCGCCTTACTTATGAGTCATTTCCGTTTGTCGGTGAACACCGTTGAGGGGGGGGGGGCGAGTGGCGGGGGTGAATCGTCAGTCGATTTTCCAGAAAACCCTTCCCAATTTAGGGTGGCGGCTGCGTCTTAGCGAGAGCCGGCGCATCCGGGGGCACGCACTGATGGGCCTGTGCACGTCTGCAGGGTTCACGTGCGTCGCACGGACAAGGTGGGCACGGAGGCGGCCTTCCACGCCATCGAGGAGTACATGAGCCACGTGGAGGAGCACTTCGAGCTGCTGGCTCGCAGCGCCCCGGTGGAGGTGAAGCGTGTCTACCTGGCCACCGACGACCCGGGCCTGCTCGCCGAGGCCAAAGCCAAGTACGTGGCCCCCTCGAGCGCGCGCGCGCCCCCTTCCGTGGGCCACTCCCGCTCGGAAGGGCCCACTTCCCTGAGTGAATAACGTTCGTCGTTCGCGGTCCGTTGTTGATCTGCTGCTAGAAGAAGCCCCCTCCCGACGTGCGACAAAGTCATCGTCGGCATTGTCGCAGATAATTTATGTACTGAAGTAAACAAGCGAACAAAACGCCAACTTCCCGTATATTTTTTCTCCACGTAAAACATGAAGGTTAACAGAACTCCAATAATCCACGCTCCACTAATCCGTGAATCCCCATAATTTGCGGATTATTGGCGGATTGCGACTCCTCCCGTAATCCGCAGCGCACGGCGGTCGGTTGGAAAACGCTTCGCGGACCGCAACCCACGACCCGTGGATGTTGGCGGGTTATCATGGAACTGCAGGAGCGGAGCTGCAGGGAAACACGGAGGGGGAAGCTTTTTTATTTTATTTTTTGAGAAATTTTACTTTTTTTGTTTTGCATCAACACGGACGAGCTGTGCTAACACGCATTGTTCCGGAGAGAATATTTTAGCTTTTTATTTTAAAAAATTACTTGAAAATAATGTATTCCTTTGCACATCCTAAGCCTCTTACTCGCGTGTTTGTGTGCGTCCACTGCAGGTACCCGAGTTACGTGTTCATCAGCGATAACGCCATCTCGCGCTCGGCCGGCCTGCAGAACCGCTACTCGGAGCAGTCCCTCATCGGAGTCATAATGGACGTGCACTTCCTGGCACACAGCGACTTCCTCGTCTGCACCTTCTCCTCCCAGGTGACCCCGACGCTCTGTGGCCACGCGCTCGGCTCGCCCGTGCGAACGCGACCGTCACACGATTTGTTGCTGACCGAGCGTCCCTCTCAAGAGCGCTGCACACGCGACAAGCAACTCGCGGTCGCGCCTCCCATTAACACGGTTGGCTACGAACGGTGCGAAAGAAGTTCAATATTAATGCGTAGATCGCAGCTCACACGTTTGAAAGGGCACTCCCAGTTGCAGCCTTCCGTGTGCGACGCACGATAATTCGGTACCTCGCTTGCAAGGTGGGGCATTAGACTCCCGTTCAGAGGCGATGATTGCTTTGTGCATCCTAGCCACTTGACTTCTCAACTTGGTTTTACAAAAAAACTGAAACTAAACTCATAAAACTATTTCTCCACGTAAATTACACCATGGACACATTTCTTTTATATGGCGTTTGGGAAGAGCAACTGACAAAAGCACTGCAACTGCATGTGCAGTCTGGTCACCAATTCGATGGCATCAGTGTAGTTTCATGCAGAGTGTTCGCACCTCCCGTGAGAGCGAATAACGGGCGACGCTCGGTTACGCGATCAGCGGATGGCACGTTCATAAGAGGCCAACTGTCCCACTTGTGAAAGAATTGGCTTCACCTGCCATGGGTTTCCATGCACACCACCGTGGTAGCACCGCTTGCAGTCGAAGAGCAATGCAATCATTGAACGCGAGCGAAACTCGCGCGTGATTCTGAAACGCTTCCCAACGTTGTAGAAGTTCGCGGTTTGAATCCAACGTCCGTCCTGGTTAATACTTGCAGGCGTATTAACCGTACACCCGCAAGTATTCACCATAGACCCGTACCTCGGATTAGCACAGTTGGCTACATACGGTGCAAAATAAGTTGAACATACATCCATAAAAATACGCACTATCTGCTTTATGGTACATGCTAAAAATTTGGCAAATTTGAAAAATTGCACTGTAGATTTCTCATTTTGAATTTACATAGCAATCATCGTCCTGTGCTGATAAAACTTTGCAGGATCCTCTTGAAAAAAAGAGTTGGGGGGAGTCGGGTTTTTGTGGCTAGGCTTCTTCTTTTGCATGACAGGAGGGAAAAGCACCGGTGATTAAACAGGTTAAGAGTTGAACACTTCAGTGTTTTCCAACCAATCCGAGGAGGAGGCAGCAGTAGACGCTATGTGGGTAGCAGCGACACTGCCGGGACACTCCACGGATGGCGCGGTCCATCGACGATGCCTTTTGATGGCTTAGACTTCACCACAGCCGCAGTTCGGCGATTCTGCGATCTTCCGTTTGCCGATGTCTGAGCGCGGTGTGGCGAGGACCACGGTCGTCGTGGGAGAGAGAAGCCCGGAGGCGCTTCCACCCTCGCATCCTCCACGAGGTGTTTGTGCTGCCACGCCCAGCCCACCATCCCGTGCGGCGAGTGCCGATGTCTTCTTTTTCGACTGCTCGGGGCGGAGGCGGCGGTCCAGAAAGGTTACCTGGATGTCAGCCGATGGCGTGGCGATTCTTCGAGGCCTTGTCGGAGCTGCGGAGCGATGTTGTCCGTAATCTGTGGTACTACTCCCCGGGTCGTCGCGGCATCGCGCCGGATGTTGGCCGGGAGCAATGTTCGCTGCACGGGGAGCCACGGCGGTGGAGTGGACCTCGGGGTGCAGTCGCCAGCGACGATCAGCAGCGCGGTGTTGATTTTGGGAGCTGGCGCTGCACACTGGCGGCCCAGGGCTCCGTCAGCGGTGGAGGGGGGACCAGAGCTTGCATCGACATCTTCAGCGTGCGGGCGTCGCTTGCCCCACGTTGTTCCTATGTAGTAAACAAGCATGATGATAATAATTAATGTGTTTTCTGCAGAAGCATTCTTTTCAAAAAGATGCATATATACCCTATGTGACATAACAAACCAGACGTTAACGTGAAAATGGAAAATGTGCAAAGAAGCGTGGAGAGGTGCACGCTTAAAACTACGCTGAAAGAAAGAAAGAGGAACACATCGATTACAGAGCACACACCGCTTAAAGACATCATGTTGACTGTTAATTAGTGGACTTGGGACAATTAAGAAGGGATGCTGGTTAAGAATAATAACCGAGTGGCAGCTAATGGAGAGGACGCGCCGGAGAGAACGTGCCCGAGAGAACGTCCGCCAAGGAGACGGAACGATGAAATCGGCTCCTCGTCTACAGAGGCTGGGTGGATTTGTACAACGCAGGACTGTGGGGTTGCAAAGACTGGCACCGGACTACTAAGGCAGGTCAACAGAACTAAGCGCTTGTCAATTCCACAGTCGCTTCACAAACGCTGCTTTGAGGCTGCTTTCCTTCCGCCCTCCTGCTGATGTTTTCTTGTGACTACGAACTTACTGATGAGATGCTACGTGTCAACACCGGTCCAGAGGTCCTGAGTATTGAGCCAGTGCTCCTGAAAGAATTCACTTGCAGAAGGCTGCGTGGGGCCGATGAGCGTAAAAATATAATCCTTTTTACTTTACACATAGAGGATCAGACATGAGAGGAAGGCAATATTGTCTGCTTATGTATTCATGTCGCCGTTGTTGTTTTTGCTACCACAGGTGTGCCGCGTGGCGTACGAGATCATGCAGACCCTGCACACGGACGCGTCCGCCTCGTTCCGTTCGCTCGACGACATCTACTACTTCGGGGGGCAGAACGCCCACAACCAGGCGGCGGTCTACCGGCACGAGCCGCGCTCGCCCGACGAGATCGCCCTGGAGCCGGGCGACACCGTGGGAGTGGCGGGTAACCACTGGGACGGATACTCCAAGGGGGTGAACCGTCGCACGGGCCAAACGGGACTCTACCCCTCCTACAAGGTGCAGGAGAGGGTGGAGGTCGTCAAGTACCCCTCCTACCCCGAGGCCGACCGGATACGTCTGCAAAAGCAGCACTAGCAGTCGAGCTACAAGGGGGGGGGGTTGGGGGGGGGGACCGTCACCGTCCAGCAGCAGCAGCGAGAGAGACTGCGTTACCCGGAATCGCGAGTTGTAATTGAAGAATCAAAAGACAGACGGGAGAGACTGCATTCTATGAATGAATTTAAACAAAAGACTACCATGAAATGAAGAAATAAACTACTGCTGGCGATGCTGTTTACTTGCTATTGCTTTGTATTTCATTGGCAGTCTTCAGGCAAGAGTTTGTCTTGTGGTAAGCGCGCCAGGCGATTTGCATTTGTGACAAGACTGATGAGCATTGGGAAGTAATTTTTCAGCCTTTATAATCACGAGTGCAAAGTGCAGCTCCGGAATTGCCACTTAAACAGTTAGGTTGTTTGTGGTTCACTGTTATTTGTTTTTTTTTTGTCGAGAACTGTCTCTGTAAAGCTTTAACCTGGCTGTCTTGTGTTACGTGAGGGATGGGGGGCGGTGTGTTGGAAGGGTAGATCATTTTCTGGGCTTGTAAACTTGTTACATTCCTTTATCAAACACCATGCATCTCCAACACTTTGGGTTTTGTTGTTAAGTTCAAGGCAGAGAGAGTACCTCAGGGTGCAGCTGGCAGGCTGCCTGGGTGTCCGACTGTGTCGCAAGGCAAGCAGGCGGGGTGGGTGCATTCGTGTGGGAGACGTGTGGTGAGAGACGTGTGGGAGCAGACGTGACGCACTCCCTCCGTGGTGGGAGCCCGCACGTCCAAATAGTCCTTCACCTGGGCCTAATACAGCCTGATCAGGAGAAACCAGCTCGCTACTTTGCCCGATTATAGATCGTAATCCTTCTAAAGCACACATTCATCATGAGAACATTACCTCAATTTTGTACTTGTGCGAGATGTCTGCGAGCAATCCGACACACGCGCTCCTCCCGATTCCGGCAAGTATCGCCACAGCACGGACAAAAGAAGCAGAGGCAGCGGGGTCGTGACTGCGCGGCGTTTCCCCTCGATCGGTTGTCTTCTCCCTCGTGGAACTTTGCCTTGGCCGGATCCGGCGTTCGACGAGCCACGTGCAAAAGAGGTGTCCCCAACTTGTCTGGTGTAACAGTTTGATCCGTTTTGGCAAGTTGAGTAGTCTTTGGTTTGGTTAAAGGTGTTTGAAGTCACCGTTTGAGGACATCGTACTACAGCCTGCTCAATATTTTCTGTGGCCTTTTACACAGCATTTGTTCAGCCTTAAAGTGCCATCTTTAGCAGCTGCAAAAAGAGAATGGATTTACGTGCAATGCCCGACAGAGCCACTGTCTCGGGCTCGCTGCGAAGGACTGCAGGTTAGGAGGTTACCGTTGTTAATTCTTTCTTTCACTGGCGAAATTAACACGGGAGAATCATTTGTTTGCAAAATTTCCTAAATATACAACCGAAACAATATCCACTCTTTTGCCCAACTAATTCCAATCAAATGGGAACAGACATTACTGTATATTTCAAAAATTAAGAAAGTCCTATCTGTAGTCATGGATATCCATTTGTGCTTGATAATGGGTAAGTTGTTGAGAATGTGTGGTTCTCTCTAAGGGCCGACTAAACTTTATGCTGAATGAATGATTCATAGTGCTACTTATACCGCATTTAATGGTCAAAATGTAAATATTGAAGTCCCAATATGAAAGCTGTTCGTCGTACAGCTCACGTTCACTCTCAGTTTCCCCTCTGTGGAAATATCGTAGAATAGGAGCTTTTCTCATCGTGCCGGCACCAGCATTGGGCGTTGTGAGAAGTGCCGGCACGTTTACACCGCTGCGTCATTTCTGACGGCAAGAGGGAAGCGAGCAAGCCGAGTTAGCGAGCTCGGCGCGTGACCTTGGCCCCAAGTACCACGCCGCGGCCTCACTGGGTCGACCCCGGCACCAAACCCCCATCGATTTCCCAGGCCACGTGGCTCCCTCTCAAAAGAAGCACGTTTGCACAATGTCACCCTTGGCCGCTCTCAGAACCAGACGTCGCAGCGGGTGGGGTGGGGAGAAACTTGATAATGGGATGTATAGTCGAGGTGTCCCTCGCTTCGCTTCACTTCACTTTTCGGAATGTGTCTTGGTTCAGAAAAAAAGGCAACATATATTTTAAGCGCGTGTTTACCTCACACAAGCGTAAGTTAAAACGTGTATGCTCTTTCCCTCCTCCTGCTAAGGGCAGGAAAAGAGTTCAGGAGCAATTGTTGACACAGGAGACGAGTCACACAAAGGCCTCAGCTGGGCCCTGACCTGGGCCTGACCTGGGCCCGACCTGGGCCCATCGAGACCATTGTGCAGTGGTCCTGGAGGTGCAGCACGATTGACTCCTCGTTGCAACATAGAAATGTGACCTTGTGCAAGAACAATTTAGCCATTCGGTAACAATGAGAATCTCGTTTAATGTGCTCCACCTTCACAAGACTTTTGGTTTGTGTTGCCAATAGACAATTACATTCACTGATGATTTTATTTCTCCTAATTTGTTATTTAAACAATTATGTTATCTTCATGGTTATCCTAACCAGGCATTAAAGATCTGAGCAATCTACATTGTTTGGAGGATAAGAGCAGTACTTGGACTCTGTTTAATTTTACTCAAGTTGCCCGGAGCCTATTTCACTCTCCGTAACAAACTATTGAATGCTCCAATTCCCCCTCCGTCGTCACTAGTCACACGTGACAGTCCTCCCACAGAACATCCACATATTCTCCAGAATTGTAATCGTCCCTGCAGGAGTTGGTTGTCTTGTACAAGAATTGTTCTCACCAACCTGGCCAGGGATAACTCACGCGCAATACCTTCAGCAAGAACGAATCTCGACTGCATCTCTCTTCACCACTTTGATTTTATTTTGCGTGCTCTTTGTTCAACACCTGTAGCACAGATCATCGCCTCTAAAGCTGTACACTTATATTAGGAAGTCTGCAACAAAGACACTCGGTCATGTAAGCATGGTTAGCATACCTGGTTCATAGCTTAAAACAAGAAAAATATGCATTTGTTCCACGATTCTGTCATCGGAGGCCTCAAATAAATGTGAACAATCATTTTTGACGGGCTAAAAAATGGATGTTATCAGAAACACAATAATTGTAAATATATTGATATTAAATCAATTGCAGTTTTTAATAGCAAGTTAAAACGCCACCTAATTCACGTAAACTTTAATAATTGGAAATATTTCAATGCATTCAAACGTGCTTAGATTTGTTGCGCCACAAATAATAACTCTGTAATCATATTTTATGTTAAAGATTTATTCTAACGAGTTAACTTCCCCATTCCAGGTAAAACGCATTAATCAGTGCAAAATTACCCATTCAGATGTTTCAGCAAGTCTGGAGTGTTTCAATTGGCACTTTTAAAATTGAGGCTATAAGTGCATTCCAACTACTGCTGAGTAGGACTAGATTTAGATTAAATATGATTTCAAAGGCCAGGTGGCTCAATGGTAGAGTGAGCGTCTCTGGGGATTGAGCCGGCCCATCATCTCTCCGAGTCAATAAAATAAAGTACCACTTTGTGGGGAAGTCGACGGTGGCTGTCATATGGATAGACCCCCCCCCCTCCAGCACTGGTTCCGGGCTGTAAACAGGAGATGAGCAGGAAATCACTTTGACTTGTATTGAACACTTAAATCATGCAGCATTTTACGTAAGAGCATGAGCTGTTTCTCGAGTAAACCGCATCGACCCCATTTATTACCCGGACGCCTAAATAACACTAGAAACTGAAGTACAACAATATTCGTACAGCCGAAGTGTGGCCGCAGGCAGCCTTCGAGTGCTGCTGACATTCACTGAAATGTTTTTTTTCTGTTGGCACAAGGTTGCGTCTGCATGTGATCCTTATGGCGGTACCCCGGGGTGCCAAATAATACAACATGGCCGAGGCAATTAAATCTTGCATTTCTAGGACACTTTTTTTTCCAGGGGTGTACTTCGCTCCGCGATGTCGAAACGCAGCGAGGACGATTGCGCCGAAACCCTGAACGCTCGCGGTACGCACCGTAGTGGTGCATCGTGTACAGCTCGTCGAGATGAGTCGATTGGCGCATCGCCGACCATCAGCAGACTAACAGTGACTGCATCACGGATATTATGCGAGAGCCGGGGTACTATGGTACCCCGGGTTACCGCCATGAGGTTCACATGTTTCCATCTGAAGTGGTGATGTCTATAAATAACACAAGGGAACCTTTTTAAAATCTGCTTCTCTTACCGTGCTGCCGCAAACACTTTCCAAACCGCTTGGCGCTTCAAATATGCCAGCTAAAAATGTTATAGCTAATGGACTTGCTCCAATATTGGCATTTATTTTTGTACTAGTTTTGCACAATTACATTGCAGAAGCTACACTTGAGTGTTGTTGCGTCATTGTTGTTCAGAATTAGACCAGACCTGCGTGTCCCAGTGCAATGACATGCCGTCCAACAGTCACCAAATATACACACCTCGCTCGGTTCTATTTCCTGGATGCATTTTGTAACCTTTGCTACTTTCTGGCCTGTATATCTACATTTGAAACCCACCCAAATGCCGGTCCAAGGGTCACTGTACAAAGGGGAACGTTCATGATAATTGTCATTGCTGCAAAATTAATGTTTTCCTCTGTGTAAATTCTACTTTTATTTTAAATGATTCCACTATGATTTTTCTGTGCTATCGAATAGAACGTGATTTTTTCATGTCTTGGTGAAAAATTAAATAAGTTAAACAGGCTGTGTGTGACGGTGGGTTTGCTTTTTGCCCCAACGCTGTATGTTGGCTGCGTGGCAATTGTCTACATTTCAGACGGATGAACCTTTCCTGTGCGAGTCTGAAATTAGGTCAAGAGGTTATCACGGCCGACGCCACTTCTGCCACGTCCCAAACTTGTTGCTGGCTAAACCCCCCGGGGATGTGAGGGCTACTGCTGGTCCCATCACTACTACCACCACCACCTCAACCAAATGTGTTTATTGTCAAGTTGTAAACTAATCTTAGGCTTTTTCGGTAAAGTCACGTAGGTATAAAAATAATAGAAATAAAATAATAAATCACGACGTTTCGGAGGCAACACAAGTCTCCGTCATCAGGTGGGACCGTCACAGCTAAATTTACTGTATCAAGAGAGGAAAAATCCAAGAGACAAGCTCTTCAAATCTAGAATTAGGTTGTAAACTATAAAGTCAAAATGGAGTTTTGCAGACAGCAATTTCCGACCTCTACCCACCCGGTGTCAAAATGTCCAACATTTAAAAACACCGAGTTCCCGTGATTGCCGATCTTGTCAACGTAGTTCTGTGAAATGGGCTTTGGACAGGACTCGCCACGAGAGGGCGTTGATCGGCATGGCCCTGAACTGGACATGTTGGTGCCCTGGGCAAGGGGTGGCGGGGGGGGCTTCCTTGTTGATACGGCGCCGGCACCGTCCCATTCACAATTACAGCCACCACCTCCACCAATTACATCCACCAGCACAATTACATCCACCACAAATACAGCCAGCACAATTACAGCCACTATCAACAATTATATCCACCAGCACAATTACATCCACCACAAATACAGCCAGCACAATTACAGCCACTATCAACAAATACAGCCAGCACAATTACAGCCACTATCAACAATTACAGCCAGCACAATTACAGCCACTATCAACAAATACAGCCAGCACAATTACAGCCACTATCAACAATTACATCCACCACAATGACAGCCTGCGCCCGTCACCCATTGGGGTGGCAGCCGCCCCCCGTCCTCTCGGCGACACTGAGAGGCGATCGTCTCGAGTCTGGGACTCGTCGAGCGAGCAGCCAAAGGCGAGAGGAGGCGCCCCAGGGGAGAGAAGGCGCCCTAGGGGAGAGAAGGCGCCCCAGGGGAGAGAAGGCGCCCCAGGGGAGAGGAGGCGCCCCAGGGGAGAGGAGGCGCCCCAGGGGAGAGGAGGCGCCCCAGGGGAGAGGAGGCGCCCCAGGGGAGAGGAGGCGCCCCAGGGGAGAGAAGGCGCCCCAGGGGAGAGGAGGCGCCCCAGGGGAGAGGAGGCGCCCCAGGGGAGGACGTCCACCGCTGAGACGAAGCGATGCAATCGTTGCACGCCGAGGGCGATCACAGTTGGGCATCGCTGACTAACGAGTACTCGATTACGCGCCCATCCTCACACCGCATTATATTGTGGGTGTCGTAATCGATGAGTTGAGATTGGTAAGTCGCTCGTGTGTGCGCGCGCACCGCTGTGGATTGTAGCGTCACCACGACGGCGAAGACGACGCGAGTCGTGAGAATCGCGACCCAAAGTTGAGTCGCAGCCGGTGGGTCGAGGGTGCAAATCGACTCCTGACGAGGGGCGGGGCACTAAGTAAAGGGGCGGGGCACCGGGGAAAGGGGCGGGGCACTAAGTAAAGGGGCGGGGCACCGGGGAAAGGGGCGGGCACTAAGTAAAGGGGCGGGGCACCGGGGAAAGGGGCGGGGCCCCGGGGAGAGTGACAGCACAGAGGAAGCAGCGGGGGCCTTGTCGGGCGAGAGGGGGGGGGCGCTGCACGTGGACGAGAGGGGACGGGCCAAGTGGGCGAGACGGGGGGCGGGGCGCGAAGGAAGGGGGCGGGGCACCGGGTGAAGGGGGGCGGGGTATCCGGAAAGGGGGCGGGGCATTGCGGGGAGTGGGGGTGACAGCACAGAGGGGGCCCACTCCACTCGATGGGGGCAGTGCACTTGGGCGAGGGGGGTGCACGTGGGCGCGCAAGCTGAGCACGGTGCGAGGCGTGGGAGGGGGGCGAAGCGTGGGGGGGGGGCGAAGCGTGGGGGGGGGGCGAAGCGTGGGAGGGGGCGAAGCGTGGGGGGGGGGCGAAGCGTGGGGGGGGGGCGAAGCGTGGGGGGGGGCGAAGCGTGGGGGGGGGGGGCGAAGCGTGGGGGGGGGGCGAAGCGTGGGGGGTGGGGCGAAGCGTGGGGGGGGGGCAAAGCGTGGGGGGGGGCGAAGCGGGGGGCGCGGCCTCACTCTCGGAGGGCGGGGCGCCTGAGCGCGCGCGTTTGGAGCGGGCGGGGGGGCGGGGGGGGTGAAGCGGAAGAGGCGGGGCGCGAGGGCTGCCCGCGCGCGTTCTGCTTCCGGTGCAAAAGGCCGGTCACGTGACGAGGCCGCGCCTCGTGCTCCGCGCACCACGCGCCCCGTCGCCCCGCGCGCGCCATGAGCGACATCGACGACGAGTTCGACAGCGACGTGAGGAGCCGGGGCCCCCCTCCACGCACTCCCCTCACTCGCCCCTCCACGCACTCCCCTCACTCCGCTCACTCGCCCCCCCCCCCCCGCTCGCTCGCACCGACTCTGAGGGAGCGCGGCGCCTGCCACGCTCCCTCAGCCACGCCGCGCGCGACGTGACCGCGTGTGTGTTACGTGACCGCGCGTGTTTTTGTTGTCCGCGTGTTTTTGTTGTCCGCGTGCGTCAAGCGTTTCACGTGTCCGTATTTTGTGTTTCGCGGGTGTCCCGTGTGTCTGGCTTTTGTGTTGCGCGTGTCTGTTTCCTGGTACACGTGCCCGTGTGCGTGGCTTGTGTATTTCACGTGCTGCTTGTTTTGCTGTGGGCTGTGCGGTTCATTCGCGTGGGTCCCCGTTGTATGTTTCGCGTGCGCGTGTTTTCACGTGGCAGTGTTTTTCCATGTGCGTCTGTCTTTGTCTGCGCGTGCGTCTATTTCCTGCTTCACGCGCCCTGTGTTTCACGTGTCCGTCTCGCCCCTCTTGTCTCTAAGTGTCTCCGCCCACTTCTGTTTTGTTCGTGATTAACGTGTCTGTGGGCGGTTCACGTGTGTCTGTGGGTGGTTCACGTGAGTGTGTGGGTGGTTCACGTGAGTGAGTGTGGGTGGTTCACGTGTGTGTGTGGGTGGTTCACGTGTGTGTGGTCACGTGAGTGAGTGTGGGTGGTCACGTGAGTGAGTGTGGGTGGTTCACGTGTGTGTGGTCACGTGAGTGAGTGTGGGTGGTTCACGTGTGTGTGTGTGGGTGGTTCACGTGTGGGTGGTTCACGTGTGTGTGTGTGGGTGGTTCACGTGTGTGTGGTCACGTGAGTGAGTGTGGGTGGTTCACGTGTGTGTGTGGGTGGTTCACGTGTGTGTGTGTGTGGTTCACGTGTGTGTGGTCACGTGAGTGAGTGTGGGTGGTTCACGTGTGTGTGTGTGGGTGGTCACGTGAGTGAGTGTGGGTGGTTCACGTGTGTGTGTGGTTGGTTCACGTGTGTGTGGTCACGTGAGTGAGTGTGGGTGGTTCACGTGTGTGTGTGTGGGTGGTCACGTGAGTGAGTGTGGGTGGTTCACGTGTGTGTGTGTGGGTGGTTCACGTGTGTGTGGTCACGTGAGTGAGTGTGGGTGGTTCACGTGTGTGTGTGTGTGGGTGGTTCACGTGTGTGTGGTCACGTGAGTGAGTGTGGGTGGTTCACGTGTGTGTGTGTGGGTGGTTCACGTGTGTGTGGCCACGTGAGTGAGTGTGGGTGGTTCACGTGTGTGTGTGTGGGTGGTTCACGTGTGTGTGGTCACGTGAGTGAGTGTGGGTGGTTCACGTGTGTGGGTGGTCACGTGAGTGAGTGTGGGTGGTTCACGTGTGTGTGTGGTCACGTGAGTGAGTGTGGGTGGTTCACGTGAGTGGGTGGTTCACGTGAGTGGGTGGTTCACGTGAGTGGGTGGTTCACGTGAGTGGGTGGTTCACGTGAGTGGGTGGTTCACGTGAGTGGGTGGTTCACGTGAGTGGGTGGTTCACGTGTGTCACGTGTGTGTGTGTGTTTCACGTGTGTCTGTGTGTGTGTGTTGTTCACGTGTGTCTGTCTGTGTGTGTCTGTCTGTGTGTGTATGTTTCACGTGTGTCTGTGTGTTCGTGTGTTTCACGTGTGTCTGTGTGTTCGTGTGTTTCACGTGTGTCTGTGTGTTCGTGTGTTTCACGTGTGTCTGTGTGTGTGTGTTGTTCACGTGTCTGTCTGTGTGTGTTTCACGTGTGTCTGTGTGTTCGTGTGTTTCACGTGTGTCTGTGTGTTCGTGTGTTTCACGTGTGTCTGTGTGTGTGCGTTGTTCACGTGTCTGTCTGTGTGTTCGTGTGTGTGTTTCACGTGTGTCTGTGTGTGTGTGTTGTTCACGTGTGTCTGTGTGTGTATGTTTCACGTGTGTCTATGTGTTCGTGTATTTCACGTGTGTCTGTGTGTTCGTTTGTGTGGTTCACGTGTGTTTGTGTGTTTCACGTGTGTCTGTGTGTTCGTGTGTTTCACGTGTCTGTCTGTGTGTTCGTGTGTGTGGTTCACGTTTGTGTGTTTCACGTGTGTCTGTGTGTGTAGGTTTCACGTGTGTCTGTGTGTTCGTGTGTGTGGTTCACGTGTGTCTGTGTTCGTGTGTGTGGTTCACGTGTGTCTGTGTGTTCGTGTGTGTGGTTCACGTGTGTGTTTGTGTGGTTCACGTGTGTCTGTGTGTTCGTGTGTGTGGTTCACGTGTGTGTTTGTGTGGTTCACGTGTGTCTGTGTGTTCGTGTGTTTCACGTGCCTCTGTCTGTGTTTCACGGTGGTGAGATGTTAACTAGCTCGCTCGGTACACAGGAGGTCGGGGGTTCTATCCCCGACCCTGACGCCTGCTGTGTATTTGGAGTTTGCGTGTCTCTTTCCCCGTGGTCGTGTGATATCTCTTTTTTCTCTGGGTCCTCTGGTTATTCCCTCCACATTTCAAAACATTCAATTGAGATTATTTAGTTATTTAGCTGCTATCTATGTCCAAATGATGGACTACTTTGTTGAGCTAACTTGTGTGACCAGGTCGCTTCTGAAAAATAACTTAATACCTCGTGGGCTTGGTTTATTTGTTCGTGTTTGGGCGATTTTTTTTACACCTTTCTGGTACTTTGTTTTCATATTGTTGTAACGTTCTTACTGGAAATCTGTGAAAAAGAGCTTTATTGCTCATCAGATTCCTCCATGATAAATACATATTCTGATTCTGTGTTTCACGTGTCTGTGTGCATGCGTGTTTCACGTGTTTGCGTGTGTGCGTGTGTTTGTTCTGCAGGATGATCAGTGCTCCAGGTTCCAGAACACGGTGAGCGCCTGTGTGGCCACACAACGGCGTGGAGCGGCCCCTTTGGGGGCCAGGAGCGGCTCCAGGGTTTGGGATGTATCAGGGCCCAGTGTCCAGACCTGACCTCATACTCACGCCATTGTCACTGTTTCAGGGTTATTGTTCCCGCTATTTTTACGTCGCTTGAGTAATACATTGTTCATATTCTGAAGTTAGTATTTCAGTGTTAGCTCTTCATGTTTTCAAGTTTATATTTGTTTAACCAGGTGTGATAATTTAATTTGCTTCGATAGTCTGAAAACTAAAGGCGTCCACCAATTCCAGCCCCGGTGGACTTGATGCGCTGGGATTTGAAGTCAGTCGAGGGCTTTGACAGCTGTGACACGCAGCCCGATTTGAAATGTGAACTGGCCATGCGGGCAGCAGCAGCAGCAGTGTGTATCGTGCACACAGTTGGCACGGTAGGCTGTGCTGTCGGTGGAGTTATTGTATCGTAGGGGGCCACCATTGACCGGGCACGTCTTCCGAGTTTACTGGGTAAGATTAAACCACAGGGCCTGTGGCTTTATCATCAAGTTAACCTTGGGTGCCCAGATTAAAATGTTAAAACAATCACTTTGTGATTTGAGTACACAATTTCTACTGGGCGTATTTTATTACCGTAATAATTTACATATATACATATATACTAAGACTCGCGGTAAATTAAGTAGAATACCGTAATAACTTGATGTTTTTCTCTTAAAGGAGCATTTCCTCTTTAACCAGGTAAGAGCTCATAACCTGCCTTTGTACTTGGGGGCATCGGTTAACGTACTTGGCGGAAACTTTTATGACGCGTTTGGCTGCGTTTTGAGGTAAATAGCGACGGGAACGTTTTCTGATATTCATCGCGACACATTCCGGCGTGAAGGAAGTACACTGGGGCCAAGGTGCAACTTTTGCCAAGGCAGGTGAACGCGACTCGCTTCGTGGTCGGCATCACCGGCACACGGAAACCCGTTTCGCACCACTGCGTGGGTGTTATGATGACCCATTCAGCACCAGTTCTGCCATGTGCCATGATCGCAGAAAAAAGTGGATGAAACTCTGCAAGGAATGTGCCACGTTTACCGTCTTCTGCGTGCGGAAAACCCTTTCCGCAGGTTGCAAACAACATAGGATGTGATGTACAGGCAGCCTCGAACGAGTGGTTTTTATTTCGAGTTATGACTTAACACACCTGGCACAGTTGAGCCATTGGCATGTCACTTGCATACATGCGGGTGTATGTTGGGTGGAATGTCTAGACCAGGGGTCGGCAAACTGGCTCTCCTAAGGACTGCTTCGTGACATTTATTAAAGGCCACCGTCTCGTGTTCACATTGCATTGCAACTCTTGAAATATTGAGGGTTTTTTTCCGAATTTTGAAAAAATGGCGCTCTTATTTTGGTTTGCTGGACCTCTGGTCTAAATTAAGGGTAGAGGCTGCAGCCAAGCTGGACTGCAGTTACATAGCCATGAAACTAGATACAGGACCAACACTTTTTTTCTTCTAAAATCGGTGAATTGCCGCCGTTGCTGTAATTTCCCTAGATCCACTGATTGCGATTTCTAATCCGATCTACACATTTTATGTACACGAGCAATTTTATATCTGTTGCAGGTAAACAGAAATGTCAGTGTGTACATAGTAAACATAAGATACATATTTGGGCACATCACTATGGACATATTAAACTAGAGTGACTGGTTTACGTATTTTTGTTAATGTTTAAAATATCTGAGAAGCAGTCAAACTGATTATTTCCAGTTCAGTTTGGGTTAACCAAAAAAAAGTTTTTATTAATTTAAATAAAACGGTCTTAAAGAAGGTTAGATTTACTAAATACATGCATAGACAGGAAATGCAGTACATAATATCCAGTGAGTGTCTATCTTTGTATGGGTGACCGTATGTGTGTGCGCACGGCTTTGTGATCAAGGATTTCTTTGTGGCTGTGTGTATGGTGCGTGTGAATATGGTGTGTATACTGTACGTGTTTTTTTCCCTTGTAAAACAGTTTGGTTAAAATCGCTATTCCTGGTTCTAAATAGTTTTGTCTAGATGCTGTTAAATACTTTCTTTTTTTAACCAAGATGATTTTATTTTATACAACTTAACGGTTTTCATAAACTGTATTATTCAAGAACTGTGCATGGCATATTTCTGCTTATTTCGTTGTGCCCAGGCAGATAAGCGGGCCCACCACAATGCATTGGAACGCAAGAGGAGAGACCACATCAAAGATAGCTTCCATGGTCTGCGTGACTCCATCCCCGCAATTCAAGGGGAAAAGGTCTGTCACAGGGTAATTGTTTTTTGGTTTTTCTAAACACTGTCGAGCACAGGCCCGAAGGCCACAGACACATCGAGTGACCAGTCGCAAACGGCACGATCAGAATTGGAATAGGTAAGAGTGTGACACGTGTATATGGACATTGAGCAAGGTTATCATTAGGGCTTGGAGTGGGGAGAGAGACGATGGGAGGGAAGTCCGCAGTGGAGCATTGTGTGAGGGATGTGGCAGCGGCAGAAGAGTTGTGAGCTGCAGTGTGGTTGGTTAAACACCGCTCTGATTAAACAACGGTCCAGTTCCATTCGTTTAGTTGAACTTACACTTGAATGGTACATGCTCTAACCTAAAAAATCAAGGTACATCCTCCAACTTAGGTCTTATCTAAACTTATGCGCATTAATCTATTTGTTGGCATTTTATGGAATTACCTGAAGTGACCACTGCGTTTTTGCCTATCCAAACTTAAGAATGTAAAATTCCAACAAAAAATTACACGTATTCGTTTGTCAACTGTGGATTGGTCCTCGATCCTTAATGCTTGTATTTTTTTCCAAGTTGTATTTCACCTATTGGCGTGATGTATTGAAACAAAGTATCAGTTTGGGATCTCTCGCAAAGCAGTCCAACTTTTCGTCTTCTGTAAATACCCACGGATTAACTCTGATCCCTCAGTCGCCTCTGGTTTAGACCAAGTCGAGGGCAGCACTGCTTACTCTGCCCAACGAGAGTGAGATTCGTCACATGACCATCAAACCCGATATTGTAATAAAATGTAATGTGGGGGACTGGACTGAGACCATGAACTCGCACTGCACTCCACCCAATATAACCACATGCAGCCTGAACTCAAACCTAGGGATCTCAGAGTTGGCACAGAGGGCTTTGTTGTACACGGTAGAAGATCGCCATCCACTGGCAGAGTAAGTGCATTAACAATTAAGGACAATACAGTCGGGAACAGTAGAGTAGGGCCAGGTTATGCTTGTACACCTGAGTTAGCCTGAAGTTCTCCGAAACAAGACATTTGTATTAATTCTGTTTGTGGTTCTATTGTCGGTGTGTCCCGCCTGCCGTATTGCATTTCACTGCAGGCCTCCCGTGCGCTGATTCTCAACAAAGCGACGGATTATATCCAGCACATGAAACGCAGAAACAACTCTCACCAGCAAGACATCGATGACCTCAAAAAGCAGAACTCACTCCTAGAGCAACAAGGTGTGTGGAGTTCACAATTTACAAATGGCGAACGATTGTTTTTGCGATGTGTGGTCTTAACTTTTTTGAGTTTCATAGTTTACCGAATGAAAGCTTGGCTACCAGCCCCGTTACTCAAGGCACTCTTGTAGATGCGACAGTTCTTGAGTTCTCACCTGCATTAACTACACTTTGCTGACATCTGGCCACCTTGTGGCTACGGCAAGATTTGGAGTTCCAAAAACAAACGTGATCTGCTAATCCTTGCCTTCTAAACACTGAATTACACTAGGCATAATATATTGCTATGGTACCTGAGCATTCTCAAAGTCTTAGTAAGAAATTTTGCTAAACTACATCACACTAATTTGTAAAAACTAAATTATAATTGTGTTTTTGTAAAAACTCAGTTAAAAGTTTCTGTTCACTTATATCTGTAAGAAAAAAACTACACGAGATGAGATTGCCAGTTAAAACAACCTATGTTTTAAATATCATTAAATAGATGAGTTGAAATTATAACAAATTACAGATGTTCACGCATCTCGGAAACAAGTGCTCTCCATACAAATGTAGTTTTTTGTTGTGGATGTGTGAGTGTCATAATGTTCTTGTGTTATTAAAATTGTGTTGGAGATTTGTGATGGGCACTCGCTGCACGAATTCTGGGTCTCGCTAAAGATCTCGACATATTTGATGTAGTTTCTCGCAGCCAGTCGTATGATTCATTCATTCTTTGGCTTGAGCCATGTAATGACCTGGCCAGATTTCATTTTCGCTTCTTGGATTATTTCTTTGCTTCCTGGGTTTTCCTGAAGATGCTTGGTGTAGTTTCAAGCGACACATAATGCTCAATTTGCCTGAAGAATTGTCTTCAACTTTGAGGTGAGCTCAAACTATAGTATTTGGCCTGTTGAAAGCTTGTACATACGACCAATTTAATGTTTGGATAATGTCGGGTGGTGGATGGATTTCCAACCAAATTGTGGCCGTAACAATACTGACCTAACACGTGAATTATGGTTTGCGCTAAGAAATGGATCCTATTTGTGAAAGTATATAGTCTTCGTGTGTCGTGTGTTAACAGTGCGAGCGCTGGAGAAGGCCAGAGTGTCAAAGCAGCAAGCTGGCACCTCGTCGCCCAGCGGCAGCTACGTTGGCCTGAAAGGGAGGGCGGCTTCTGCAGCGATGTTGGAGGCATCTTCCAGTTCCGACTCCGAGGCAGAGCCCAAGGAGCTCCAGAGCCGTAAGAAGCTGCGCACGGAGCCAAGCTGATCGCCTTCAAAATGTCCACATGGTGGGAAATTGTTATTGTACCCACTAGCTCAAGTTATGCTGGGGCCAAGGAAAAGGTGATTTTTAATTGAAACCTGGTATTTTATGAACACTCCCATGTCCTTCTTTAACTTCAAATTTATTCTTCAGTTAAATTCTTGTGTTTCTTTTTCAAAGCAATACAGTTTTCTTGATGCCGATAAAGCTACTTGAATATCAGTCGTAGCTTTTACAATTTATAAAAAAAAATATTTGGCATGAAGCCGTTGTAAACAGATCTACATAATTTGGTGTGTTTTGGATGGTGCATGAATGATGTTTGTTTACAAAAGCTTTGGTTTTTTTTATGCAGCCATGTTTTGTGGTTATAAAAATGTATTAACTTAAGTCCATTCCTTCCCTTTGCTGTATATACTATTCTTGTGGCAGCCTTCCTCCATAGTCTTCTGTCCAGTTCATCTCCATTGAGAAATAAGATCAGCTGGGGGGAGAGCCATGTTTTAGCTTCATTTGGTTTCGTGGGGATAAAGTGACTGATCCGCAATCATGTCTCGCACACATTTTGTTAAGAAGGACTCAACAACTCGCTGCCAAAATTCTCTTGCATTGTTCTGAATTATATTTTGATGTATTTTACATTAAAACAGCATACGAGATGAAATTTAAAAATAAAAGTAGTGTCCATCTTAGCTCCGGCAGAGTGCTTTTGTCGGGGAGTATACATTCACTGCACACCTCCGTACTGTAGAAATGCCTCATATCTGCCATGGTTGGCAGTATTCCTGCATTGAAGAGTTCAATTTGCAGAAAAGAGTTGTTCATGCGAGTATCAAGTCCGTCTTCACATCTATATCAAGCATCGCAGATATAAGAGTGGCAACAGTCGGAGCAGCTCATGACTGCAAAACCAGGAGCCAGTAATTACCAAACCCCCGCTCTGACAAAGGCGAGAACCATTGGTGTACGAGTTACACCAGATCCATGCGGAACGATGCACGACTCGCAGGCAAACTTGTCGGCACCAGCTAGATGCATTATTCGGTGGCACCAATAAGAAGCGGAGTGAACGTCACGAGGGGGACACATGTCTACACCACTGATTGCAGCGCGGCGTAGAATGTCTCTTCAAGGGTCACACTCCACGGCAGGAGCATCACGCGGCGACGAGGGAGCCGCCGCGGACAGTGCCTCGGTCTCGTACGTAATGTGTGCGAGTTGAACTTCTTTCACACCATGCGTAGCCAACCATCCTAATCGGAGGTGCGGAAATACACCGCCCGCAGTCGCTCCTTTCAACCGATTAAATAAACCTGCTTGAGAATGACGTTGACTCCTTTTTTGGTGATCGCCCTCTGAGCAATGTACCAAATTTGGCAAATAACCCACAAATTGCTGAATTGGAATATGCAGAGTAATCATAACCCCCGACTATGAAAGCTTGGAAGGACCCTCCTGAGACAGTTGTGAGACTGAGGCTTTCCTGACTGACGAAAACATAATACTTTATGGAGTTTTGCTAAACATACCAATACATTATAGATTTGAACCAATACAGGCAGTCCTCGACTTATGAATGCTGAAGATACAAACCAGCTTCTATGAAATATACAAAAAATCGATAATCGATTTAAAACTCGGACTTCGTGGTGGTCCTCACGTGTATGAAAGTGAGTGGGGGAGGAGTCGTGCTGTGGTTAGCGTACCGTGCTAACAACCTCGCGATCACAGTTCAATTCCTGCTCGCGATCGACACCAGTGACGATTACCTGAATGGGACCTGGGCCTCCCCGAGGTCGACTCGGCCTCAAATGAATTCCTGATGCGGTGTATAAGCATCGCCACTGGGTAGATGAAGGCAGCCGGACGTGGCACTCACCCCCTCGTCTGCCTTGCCGGCTTTCATAGGTGTTCGCTAACAGCACTTGCCCCAACAGTGTTAAGCCTACACGGGGCATCGTTGGGGAGTGTGTGTGCGCGCACGTGTGCGCGTGGCCCGTGTGGGTTTGCAATTATGGTGACTCGCTCGCCCCCCGTCTGACTACAAGCTTGCATCAGGACTCAAGTGAAAATATAAGTTTTTGTTTCTATTTTTTCTACCATACAGTCCAGTATTTTGTTATCGTGTTATGTGCAAATGAACAATATATCTTAATTATGAGTTTAACGATACTTCCCATTTTGTTGAACTGTAACACATTTCATAACACTGACCGTATGGGCATTTAAATAAAGTACATTATTGTGTTCCTTATCAACCGTTAGACTTGCGAACGGGTCTCGGGAGCGAATTGTTCGTAAGTTGTCGAGAACTGCCCGATAGGATGGGCAATTGGTGCTGTTTCTGGCTCATTGCCTCTTGCATGGTTTACCGGCTGCTCGCCTAACAGAGGGGATATGGGATATAAGAGTCGGAGCCGGAAATCGCCAAATGAGTTGCACCGTCGACACTAACACTGCGAGTAAAATAACTCGGACCCACGTCCAGCAGGATACTTGCCTATAACCACCAGCATTGCTTTAAGCAATCACTGCTGCTGATGAGATGCAGAATGTCGAAACTGCTCAAGAGTTTGCTTGTGTTGAACCAATGCTGCTAAATTTACGCACGCCTTGAAGCCTGTGTGGCAGTGGCATGTGTAAAAAACAATGTTAAGGGACAAGATAGGGAGTGCATTGCTTAGTTACCTCGGTCTTGTACGTATGTTGAACTTCTTTTGTACCGTACATAGCCAACTGTGCTCAACACAAAGCCAGTGTGTGCGTTGCGGGTCGACCGACCATCTAATCAGGACGGTATGAGGTGCTGAGTGAGGATCATTGGCTTTGCCAGAACGGCGTTCTCCCATGCGCGTGTTCATGCCGCGAACAACTCCGGAGCGGATTGTGTTGAAGGACGAGGCTGCACGGGCTGCCGCCCTCTCCCTGCGGTGTGTGTGAGGTGGGGAGTGAGACGGGCAGGCTTTTCAAGGTTGCAGAAGTTCTTGTGCCAGCAATGGAAACCTTTTCCAAAAAGAGCCAGTTCATATTGGCCGAAGGTGGGGGGGGGGGGAATGTTTTACCATTGCTAACATAATTAAGGCTGTTCAAATGCAGTTGTCTCCGTGGAGGTGCGTGAATAACGGATACCCCGGTCGTGGTCTGTCACCTTTTTCACAAACCAAAGCCACACATTTTTTTCAGTCAACCGAGGTGTGGACAATATACGAATATAATTCAACAATGCCACTGCTGTACCAGATCTCAGTACAAATCAATTCCTGGCACCCGAGCACAGATGCCAGTTGTCAGCCTACGCTTGTGGTTAAACACTCCCACTATCAACCAGGACGGCCGTTGTGTTGATCTGCAAACCTCTGCAATAAACGGCAAATGCGCCACCATTCTCAACGTTGGACAGAATTTCGTGACAACCGAGAGTTGATGTGAATATTTAGTACATCCCTTTTGTTCAGTCACTGAGTCCGGGACCCCAATTAGCTATCTGGGGCCCTAGGCCGTTGCATGTGTGATCATGCCCTGTGCTCGCACTATAAGCATGAGCAATGTGTTCATTATAATCAATCGTATATGGCCAATGTGTTAAAACTCTTCGTTTGTTTTTTTACAAATGTTAGATTGTGAATTTGGATATTTGGTTAAAGTTTTAAAATGTAGTTGGGTCGATTGTTTAGTAAATATGCTTTTTACTGTTTTGTAACATTTGGAATTTTAAATGCTGCATCACGGTTGCGAGATGTTTATTGCCTTGACTGGTATACAGGAGGGGTGTGGGTTCCATCCTGTGGCTGTATATTTAGAGTTTGCATGTTCTCTCCGTGGTTGCGTGGATTTATCTTCGTCGCCTGGTATGCAGGAGGTTCTGGGTGCCTTCCTGAGCCCGATGCCTGCTGTATATTTGGAGTGGATTTTTCACCGGGATCCTCTGGTTTTTCCCTCCACATTTAGAAACACGCGTTCAGAGTATTTGGCTGCTTTAAATTTCCACTTAAGCCACTTTGAGCTATCATGTCTCTTCTGAAAAAGCTTTTTAGCTCAGTGGGCTTCGCCTGATCAATTATAAAATAGTTTAGTTTTAATATATTGTTGGGAAACATTACAATCAAACAACAGCACATATACGTCATCGTTGATTACATTTGGAATGTGCCCCATTTATAGTGTAGGACCATCACGAAGGAAGGCATTAAGTTTCACGCAGTCTGCAACAGTTTCACAGTCGGGGGTGGTGTTGTTAAAGTGATCCAAATCGGGGACATTTTGCGGGATGCGGTATTTTTTTTTAAGTGGCAAATTTTGACCGTGGCGCCGGCACACGATGGCAGATTTTTCATAACGACGTCACGTAGATCTTTCACGTCCATTGATAAACATGCAAGTGCGTCGTGTTGCTGTAGAGTCCAGGGGTGGGGAACGTCCGGCCCGCGGTCCGTATGAGGCCCGCGAAATCATTTGGTGTGGCCCTGCCAAGGCAACCGCAGGCGGGACTCGAAATTTCAATAAATCTCGGAGCAAACCTGGAAAAGCAGTTGCGAGTAGCAACATCATCAACACCAGCTAACATCACACGCCTCACCAAAGAGAAGCAGTTCCAGCCATCACATTAGGGGTGAGTTAATTCAATGTTTGAGCAAATATAACAAGCTAATTTTTAAGTTGATAATGTTGTATGGCCCGCGAATGATGTTATAAATATCCAAATGGCCCTTGGCAGAAAAAAGGTTCCCCACCCCTGCAAGTGTAGACAATTGACTGCGCCATTGGCTCAGGGCTGTAAACAGACAAGCTCCCTCATTGCAGCAAGAAATCACGATTGAGTATAATACAGAACTGCGCGCTTAATGCGGTAGCGACGCTGCAGACATAATCGTTGTAATCAGCCGACGGAAGTTCTAAATGCCACTTCTGAACCGGAGCCGTCGTCCTCGGCAGTGAACTCGCGACGAGAGCCAAACGCTGCTGAATGGATTCCCATCACGCAAACTCACTCCGTGCGGACGGGCGCCCTCGACAACCAACCGGTCCGCTCCGCGCGCGCGCCCGCCCGCATTGGCCACCGATATGGCGGTGTGGTGGTGGCGGTGTGGTGGTGGCGGTGGGGTGGTGGCGGTGTGGTGGTGGCGGTGGGGTGGTGGTGGCGGTGTGGTGGTGGTGGCGGTGTGGTGGTGGTGGCGGTGTGGTGGTGGTGGCGGTGTGGTGGTGGTGGCGGTGTGGTGGTGGCGGTGGGGTGGTGGCGGTGTGGTGGTGGTGGCGGTGTGGTGGTGGTGGCGGTGTGGTGGTGGTGGCGGTGTGGTGGTGGTGGCGGTGTGCTGGTGGTGGCGGTGTGGTGGTGGTGGCGGTGTGGTGGTGGTGGCGGTGTGGTGGTGGTGGCGGTGTGGTGGTGGTGGCGGTGTGGTGGTGGTGGCGGTGTGGTGGTGGTGGTGGTGGCGGTGTGGTGGTGGTGGCGGTGTGGTGGTGGTGGCGGTGTGGTGGTGGTGGCGGTGTGGTGGTGGTGGCGGTGTGGTGGTGGTGGCGGTGTGGTGGTGGTGGCGGTGTGGTGGTGGTGGCGGTGTGGTGGTGGTGGCGGTGTGGTGGTGGTGGCGGTGTGGTGGTGGTGGCGGTGTGGTGGTGGTGGCGGTGTGGTGGTGGTGGCGGTGTGGTGGTGGTGGCGGTGTGGTGGTGGTGGCGGTGTGGTGGTGGTGGCGGTGTGGTG